GCATTTCACATGCGATGTGGATTTCTCATTTATCAAACGTAACAACAGTACAATACCCACCCCTCAAAGGGTTAAAAGTAAGGTGTAAATGAAATAACACCCATAAAATGTTGTATTATGAACCTGTCATAATGACATGAAGAGGACTAAAGTACTAATAAAATGAAAACGGCTGAGGTTTGGAACAAAGACAGCACTGCTTCCTGGGAGATGCTGGGTTTTCCAGGAAGCTCCGGGAAAGGACTCCCTCCAACAGCTGTTCAGAAGCCTCAGCAGGTTCCCTGGTCCCACTTCCATCTGTGCCCCATTTGGGAGATGAGGGAGCTTGAGGACTCTGTCTCCTCTGCAACATGCATCAGGCCACCAAGGTGAGGGCTTCAAGGAGATGAGGTTCCCTCTTTGCTTTTGAAGACTTAGCGCTTTTCCTGAGCGCTAAGGACTGAGTAGGGCAGGAAAAAAAGCCACAATAATCCTGGATTCTCAGATAAGGTCTGTTTCCCTCTGTAGCTGGGGTGCTATTGTCTTGATTTCCACAAATACTTCGGGCGATGCTGGGTGTGGCACAGCAAAGGGGATTCTCCTACTCATAAAAAGCTCGTTTTTTTCTGAGTAAGACACAGAAGGCAGTTCTGGAAAGCTGAGTTCGCAGGAAGCCCAGATAAGTGGAGCTGCAGCCCTGCGGTCCGGCCTTCTCCAGGACACAGAGGGAAAAACCAGGTGAGTATGGTCAAGTTGGGCTGTGGTCTAGCCTGGTCTTAGGCAATCTCAGGCCAAGGAATGAAGGACAAGGCCATTTTAAAACCTCATGTAACCTGCCCCGTAAACCCAGCCAGGTAAGGATATTCTCCCTTGTCAGGTGCTCTTTGTTCCAGGTGAGGAAGAAGTAGTGACAGTAAGATGACTTTAAACAGTTCTTTGACTTTTACTAATGTGACTTTCCACGGAAAAAGAAAAAGAAATGCACTGAATATACATACACTTAATATTAACAATGTGCCAACAAGCCCCACGAGGTGGGTAGCACTGTCCCTATTTCACTGAACAGGGAAAATGAGACAGCAACAGGTTAAACAACTTGATTAGGATCACCAGCTACTAAGTGGGGAGGTGGGACTCAAAATCCAAGTCTGTGGGTCTTTGTCAGGACCCAATCCGAGGAGCACAAACGTCCAGAGAAAATGCTTATGACTCACATTCGAGTTTCACTCTGAAGTCACAGAATCATTGCTACAAGAACAGAAAAGGAACCAACCACGGTAGCCAGTCCAGCCTAGATTTTACAGAACTGAGGCTTGGAGTGGGGAAGTGACTTTCTCAAGGTCACACAGCAAAGCAACTACTAAGTCAAGGCTGTGAGTCCCTGTCTAACTGACTCCTACTCATCTTCAGGTCTAGCTTAAATGTCACTTCCTTCCTTCAAGCACTCCTTGACCACACCTCCCAGACCATATCCAGTCTCCCTGTTACTCACTCTCAAGGTTCCTTGCACATAACATTGAGCTCAACCAGAAATCTGTAGCTGTGTGGAAAACTGAGCATTTCATGTTGGTCTTCTGAATCAGAAGCATCTGCGCAGTGCCTGGAGGGTGGGCTTACCTTCACTGTCGGTGAGTACTTCCATGCGCCCGCTGAACATGGCTTTCAGCATGGTGTCCTGCTTGGTCAGTGTCTGCATGGTGGTGTAGTAGAGGGCACCGCCCACATTCAGCTTCACATACTTGGAGCTGGGGCTCGTGCCCTTGAAGGAGGTGGTGCGGGTAGCAGCCGCTGGCACCGCTGAGCTCACCACACTTTCTCCTGACATCTCTTCCTGCAAGTAGAGAAGACACAGGGTAACCAGGGTCATGGCACCAGGCCTGTTTCACCTCCTTCTGCCACTGGGGTGAATCTGGCCACCAGATGTGTTTTCCTTTGTCCGAGCATATACTACATTTAAAACAAACTTTGCTCCCAACATTGACAACTCAGAAGAATTCACAGAAAAGTCTGGATTTCTGCCTTCTCTTTATATCAGTGGCCAACCTGGCCAGTAGGGCAACGACTGGTGGGAGTTGGGGTATTGGCTGCCCTCTGGGGAAAGACACATATTCCCCAATCTGCCCCAAGCTCCACCCAGATAGCCTCGTACACAGATCTCGCCTACTGATTTTGTGAGTACAAGTTTGCCAGTAACTCTTGTTTATAGGAACTTCCACTATGCCTTCTACTGGTATAAATGAATGTCCTGGCTATATCCTAAAGCAGCCTAATGCACTGCCCAGGTCTGTTTCCTTTTTGTCATGTACCACAGAACAGCTAAAAGTGCTACTTTTCAGATGAATTATAGATGAAACAAGTTTTTATGAAGCTGAGTAGGACCACAACTACCACTTCTAATACTTCCTGTAGAAAAAATATGTTTCTGAGAACTAAAGAACAGACGTAAAAACTCTTGGAAGTAGGGTATTGCAAAATTAGACTTCCTGTACTAGTGCTGCCCAAGAGCAAGATCTGATGACAGTCTCCATAACAGCACTGCCAGCTCTCATGTACACATCAGAGAAATGGACATAGTGTCCTGATTTAAGCAGGAAAGGAAACCGGTACCTGGCACATGTGTACTCAAAACATTTCTTGAATGAATAGGCAGAATTATAGAACTGGAGATGTCCAAGAGTGGGCTGAATCTTCACTGAATCTGGGACACAGCACCGAGAAAGCAGCCTGACGGCCAGGACCAGGCCTGGCACCTCGTCTGGGCCTTGGTATTCCCAATGAACATGGACGATTTCGAAGCACGTCACTATCGGACAAGGCCACTCTGTGACTGACCGATCAAAGACACAAGACTACTCCATCACTGTCTGAACACAGACAAAAACAGGAACACTGCCCAAAACACAAAAATGACCAAACATCCCCTTGTCCTGGCTAATATGAGTCACTGCTGCTTCTTTATCAACATGAGTTTTAGTCCCATTCCATTCTTCCCATCTTCAAAATAGGAATTACTGAGATTCAATCACAGAATCAGTCCTGCTTCCTTACAGCGTCCAATGCAGAGCAAAGCCCCAGTTCTCGAATCCTTCCCCAAAGCACATGAGGCAAGCCCAAATCCTCTGAGATGCCCCGAAGTTCTCCTTCAATGCATCAAGGAAACAAACTCAACTTTGACTACAGATATGCTCCTGGTGGTTTTGGCTGGAGGGCACTGACAGAACGAAACTTCAAAAAACTATACCCTCGTACTGAAAAATTGTTTTTTAAATTCTTTATGCCTTTCTCTTTTCTAGATCTCTCACAATGAACATGTCTTGCTTTTATAATTGTTAAAACACAAATGTTAGTTTTTTCCAATGGAATAAGGGACTGATGGGTGGCGACCTGCCTTCAATTGGTAAGAGCAGAGGCAATGGCCAACCCTCTTGACCTCTGTCCCCCAAAAGAGTGGCCTGGAAATCATCCACTGGGAAACTCACATCAGAGCCTTGCAGAGTGATACAGAGAAAAATGGCCTGCTGGAAAGACAAGTGTTTCCTCAAGAAACTTTCTACTTCATCCAGTAAAAATGTCAAAAGAAGGTAAATTTTCAAAAGCTCAGGTTTAGCTCACCTGGGGTCTCTGTGGCCCGACATCAAACATAAAAGAGGCCAAGAGGAAGTGGTGACCTCTCCTGTCTAGCTTTCTTTTGAAATCAGTCCCCAGAGACCAGGCACTAACAGTTATCACCAACCATCCTCCCCGCCACCAAAAAAAAAAAAAAATCTCTTTGTTCATAGGATGACAGAAGTAGCTTACGGGAATAAAGACTTTCTAAAAACTTTGAAGACTTGGTGGTGGTGGTGGGGAGGCTTACAAGTTGTAAAGGTTTTTGCGGGGGGAGCAGGGGGCAGGAATTTAGTTAAGAAAATTTGGTCCAAAATGGAAATACATTTTTAATTACCCTTTTTAGATCTAAATTTATGTAAAAATAAATACATTTTGGAGAAACCGTCTAGCATTTTATTTCCTGTTTTTGTCTGTGTTCTAGCACCTACCATAAAACAGACAAAAAAAGTCATTAGGTATACTTTATGTACTTTTTTTGGTCTGTTACCTTTTTAAAGATAATTTGCATACAACGAAGTGTATTTTAAGTGTACAGTTTGATGAGTTTTGGTCAACAGATGCATCTGTGTAGCCCTCACTCCAATCAAGAGAGAACATTTCTGTGGCTCCAGAAGCCAGCCCCGCCATGCCCCTTTCCCACTCTCCCCTCCCACAAGATACCACTGTTTTCATTGGTATCTGGAAGACTGCTATTGTGATCTCCATTTTGCGGGTTTGGATACCATGGCCCACACACTTCAGGCACTTTCTAAAGTGAGTTAATGATGGAGGTGGCTTGGTGATAGATCAAGTGAAGGACATGGGCAAGTCCTGCCTGGTCTTAAGACCATGATTTTATCAATGATCATGCTTAGTATGCATAGAGTTATCACATAAGTTGAGCAAGGAGGATCCTACCCCTTCTTTAGAAAGTACAAAAAAGCTCTGAAAAAAAGATGGGAGGCAATGTGTGGCTCTGAGCTTTGGTCTGGAAGTCAAACCTGAATTTAAGCCTTGCCATTTACCAGCTCTGGGAGCGTGGTTGCATCATCTGAGTCTAGTCTGGTCTATCAAATGAGGACAACAGAGGTGCCTCCCTCCCAGGACTGCTGTGAGGGATGCCACAGAGCACTCCGCACAGAGCAAACATGAAACACTTAAACAATGACTTTTTGAGAATGCTCTTAAAATCTCAAATTATCTTCTCCTCTTTGGAGACCAGTTCCAGCTCTCCTGACATCTGACTGAAATACTAAGTGATAAAGGCAGAAACCATCTTGATCTAGCCGAAGACTCCAGAATAGACAAAGAAAGCTCTGAACCTTTCCAGAGCCCATTCCTCCAAAGGTCAATCACCTCAAAACTAGGAGAGGTCCTTGGAAAAAAGGTTCTGGCTGTGTTTATGTCCCAGAGCCCAAGTTACAGTGAGCTGAGGACACAAAGCAGAAGACAATAAGTCTCTCACAGCAAACCTCTCTACTTTGGATACCCTAGCCATCGCTACTGGGATCCTGCTTTTTAACTTGTTTCAAAGGTTTGTTTTCGTTTTTAATGAGGTTGAAGAGGTGAGGCAAGAGAGAGCAAAATTGGTTACGAAAAAACAGAGGTAATTAATACTGCAGGTATTGGCTACCAATTCCATTCAATCAAAAGTTTATTCCAGTTAGATGGATAAGTCAAGGCATCGCTCTTTCCATCTCCCGAGTATGCTGCTGCTGATTCTAAACAGTGACCCTCTACTTGGCTGCACATTGGAATCCCCTGGAGAGCTTAAAATAACACTGATCCTGGGTCCTACCCATGAAAATTTTGATGGAACTGGTCTGGGGTGTGGCAAGGGCAAAAGAATTTTTAAAAATTCCTCCAGGTAATTCCAATGTGCAGCCAGGATTGCAACACACTGTTCTAAGAAGTTCTCAGGCCTTAATTAGGTTAATTAACTTCATAGCCTTGGAGAAGCTTCTCGACCTCTTGCTCTATTAGCCTAGTGAATTCCTGACCACAGATTAAAAACTAAAGCATCATAAACAAGAGCAAGCCCCTACTTCACAGCTTCAGAGCCACAGACAGGAAGCAACTGTATGTATTTTTAAAAAATAAAAGTGAAATAAATGGGGAAAACTGTTGACTTGAAAGTAGACCTAGGCAAGTACAATAGGGAAAAAAAGCACCAAATCCTTCACCCCTAAATGTTTTCTATACAACTCTGTAGAACTGTCTCCCTTGTGTGTGTTGGGGGAAATATGTGTGTGGAAAGTTTGAGAGTTTGGCAAATCCGGACCGCAGTTAAGTTCCACTACTTCTTGCATGATGTTCAGAGAAGTAATTTAACAGAGTCTCAAAGTTTCCAAACTTGCAAAATAAAGTTAAAGCCATAATCTTCATAATAACCCCAGAGAATGAATGTTGAAGTACCACGCATCTGGTGTTCAGTGTAGTTTTCCTTCTGCCCCTCAAGCTTTCCTTAAGATCACAGATTCTCAGCCCTGGCTGTACTAGAATCACTTGGCTGTGCTTAAAAAGTACTAATGCATGGGCTTCACCCCAGAACAAGTAATCAAATTTGGGGAGCAGGCAGCTCAGAAACTAGAGTTTAAAAGCTCTTCAGGTGATTCTAATGTGCCCAGAGCTGACAGCCACAAAGCTGGGATGTTTCTTTAACCAGCTAGATCTAAGAGTCACTGCCTTGAGGCTAGCTATAAAACTTCTCCAAACTGAGGGCATTTCTACAACTCAAAAAAGTCTGCCATTTCATTTCAACCAAATTAAATTCAATCAGCCACATAGATGTAGCATTACTTTGCATCCCAAACCCGTAGGACAGCTAGTATGTCTAAGTGTTCTGTCCAATTACATTCTTCTCCTTGTTTAGCACAAACTATTGACTTCTCTTGAAAGTCTAGTGAAGAAAATGTCATCAATCCCACTTTTTGGGGGAAAAAATTAAGAATCCGAACTATTGGGGTCCTCTGAGTCCCACTCATATGACCTTTTCATTACATAGCCCAAATCAAGAAATCATTGCTTCAATCTCCTGCAGGGCTTAAAACAGATTCCTGGGCCCCACCCCAAACTGCTTAGTCTGCGGTAGGCTTGAAAATCTAGTCATTTTTAACAAGTTCCAGCTGATGCTGCTGGTCTGGGGACCACAGTTTGAGAACCCCCGGTTTGTGCTTTCTTCTCAAGTGGTACTTATTTCACATAAAATGGAGCAGACCAAAATCAGACACAGGTTGACTCATTTTTTCTTCGGCAGTGTCCTTGGGACTGATCTTCCCTAAAGACGGCACTTTCCAGGGAAGAAACATGGGCAAACAAGTCTGGGCTGAAATTCGCTCATTCTCCCCTGGGACAAACAGCTATTCAAGGGAAAGACCCTTGAAAGATCCCAAGCACACATTAACTTACCACAGCATGTGACGCACTCGTTTCTTAGGTGTGGTCACCTCCAGCCTCAACAGAAGTGACTACATAGGTACCCAGGCGCCAGTTAAGACACTGGACTCCTTGGCGAAGGTACCCTGACCTCAGGCTCCTGGCATCCCTCCCCAGAGTTGGAAGCACGCAAAGCATGCCGGCTCCTTCTCTTTTATCTCCACTCGCGGGTGTGTTCGGATGCACCTGGGAGCCACTGCCCCACTTCCCGGAAATCTAGCGACTCCTGCTACAACTTCCAAAAACCAAAACTCTCCGCCCTCTCATAACCTACTTATTCTCCTTCACAACTCCCAAATCTTCATTTTACGCCCCAAATGTCCGTCTTCAATGACATCTCTTTGTTCTCTTTACAATCATCA